GAGTGAGTGGGTGCGTGAGTGATCGAGCGAGTAAAGTGAGTGAGTGAGTGAATGGGCGACTGACTAAGTGACTCAGTGTCTTGGCCCTCTTGGCAGCGAGTGCTGGTGCCAAGTGCTAGCGACGCTAGTCCTGCAGACCCACCCACAGAGCTATCATCCAATCATATACAACGTCTGACGTCACACTACCTACCTCTCCAAACACCACCACCACCCATATCGAAATAAGCAACGACACGGCCTGCATCAAAGTACCGGCGTCTTCACTGCAACTCGGCCTCGTAATAACTCTCGAACCTTTCTGGGCTTTATCACCGTCGTTTCGGTTCCTGCTACGACTCTTCCGCCTTCCGAGTGTCACGGTCACATGGCGACGCGACGCGTGTTTACGCGTGACGCGACGGAATCAGTCACTGCCTGCGCCATGACCTCTCTGAGAGCCTCTGTAACCGTTTCGATAGTCATCCGCACCACCGTTTCATGGATTCAAACGCAAGGCATAATACCGAGTAATGGCATCGTCGCGATAGAGCAGGGGCAGACCCAGCCTACACACCAGGGTCTTCGCCACAGACCTGCCACTCGGGCGTCTTCAAAATGTCCCAGGCGTCCATGCCAAGTCCTGCAACGGCTTTACCAACCTGAGGAGAAACCGAGCACGACGCGGCGCAGCCCACGCAAAGGCCGATGTAATTGCACGGACAAATACCGTAGTGTCGAATGCATTCACCCTGGGGGTGTGGGGTTTATTGAATGCGAGAGACGGCGACAACTGCAATTTCTCTGTGTGCGATGACCAGCCATTCAGTGACCCGCCGCAACCGAAACTCACCGTCTTCGACGCGCCTACCTCTCGTTAATACGACCTGCGCACTGATGCGGATCTGCCGCCGGGAGTTTTCGTAGCCGAGCTTAGGGGTCGGACAGCATGACGTCCAAACAATAAATATGAAAAGGGCAGCAGACAAGATCGTAAGCCTGATGACGGATTTCTGTTCTTCAAGGAGATCTTAACAGCCAGGAAGTTTGGCAATTGTTCGTAGGAGACGTGGAGGAGGGCAGCCTATGCACGCCTCATCTGTGTTGCTATTGTCCTGAGCCCGTGAAAAGGGAGCCTGAAGCGTTGACCTCACTGCTGAGAATGTTGTCGGCGCTCATCAGGTATTCAACCAGCTAAGCTAGCTAGCTATTTGTCCTCCCTCAACCTCCTGCCTCTTTGGTCAACGACATAGTTACGGTATCCCCGGCAACGTCAATATCATAGGATTCAAGCCATCAACCACGTTCCAGCTCGAGTGGGAGTCGCAGTTTCGGAACGAATTCTGCCGAGATGAACTCGACGATCCGGACAGACTGGGATGCTCTGAGATCTGGGAAGGAGACGGGCGTTTGTATCTCTCGAATGTGTCCCTCGCGCATCTATAAGTAGGTGGCAAACAACATGGCAATGCATACCTTTGAAACTCATCCGCGTTCTCTCACACCAACTATATCAGCTTTGGTGTCCCGGGCAGGAACTGAGTTCCCACCGTTATCGTCTTCCACCTCGTGCTTCGCCGTCCTTGTCCTCGTCAAGCGTGTCATCATAGTCGCACTCCTTCTCCTCCTTGGCACTGGTGTCTCGGCTTCCACGAGGTCCTCGTCGAAGTCTTGGTCAGATTCCTCGTTCTGCCACTGCCTTGTTATTCTTTTTATCCATAAATAGGGTACGCATGAATAGCTTAGGCCGTTTGCCATTCGCATTCGATGACAGAAGACAGAGGGATACCAGGGTGTAAAAGGGGCGGTTCGAAGAGAGATCAAGCCTCGTAGGACTGTGTGGGCAGTAGAGGGATTAGCTCTGAGCAAGTCAAGTTGTCGCTCTGTAGAGTGTAGAAAGAGAGGCTGTCGCTCTCTTTATGCGGACGGGCCAAGTGAGGTCAACGATCAAGGCAACTCTTCGGGAGATGGTAGCGTCCGGCCACCGAGACAAAGCTTTGCTACTCCCGTGGGCATCGCCGTGTCGATGGTCCATAGCTGGTGCACCTACAGAAGCGTGTGTGTGCGAGTACATGATAGTGAACCCCAAGGTGCAGACGGTCGGGTTCTGCATATTCGTGAGCGCAGACAGGCGTGTAGGGGTCTCCACGAGTACACCAATACATAGAGGGGCGTCATCCCAATCACACCCTTGCCAGGAGTACTGTAAATGTCCGGCCTCGTAGCTCCATCTGTTCCATTCACTCTGCTCGCTAAACCTTCACTTCCTCCCTCCCTCCCATCACAAACGAACCAAACAACCCCACTTTTATTTTATTACAGTGTTATTAATTACAAACGCGAAATGTCCTGCAACATTGTCAGATCTGGCCTGCGTCAATCTGTAACACCGAGTAAAGGGTTTTGAAAAATCATCAACCGCCTTGGTTTACATACTTCCAGATCTTGACCCATCAGGAATTGATAGCTGCAATCTACATTGTTAACAACAACAACATCAACAACAAAAAAGGCTCATAGCGAGAGAAGGGGGAGGGTAGATTATGGGGTTGAGCGCTCACGGAGGAAGAAAGAGGAGGAGGACGAGCAGGCGGGATCCACTGGGAAAGGGGAGAAGGACTTCAAGTCCAGGAAACATCAAAAAAATGTGCCCATTGTACAAAGGGCTACATTTTCTCCTAAACGGAGTTTTTTGCTGTTTTTACCGTCTGGTAGTTGTGTTTTTGTGTGTGTCTTCACGACACTAGGGTTAATGCTTCCACTTGGCGCGAGTATCTCGAATGCCTACCATCCCCCTCGTCGCCAAGGATATGCTACAGCCAGGACCCGAGACGTGCTGGGTAATGTTAACATCGCCATGGCTGCCGTAGATCGGCTCCTCCTACAGCATACGGCGGAGGAGGGTGCCACAGGAACTCTCTCGACATAGCGACAGGGACTGGAAAGCCTCCAAAAGCAGAACGAGTCTCAGTGCATCGAGGTGGAAGTTCCTTGTAACGGAAACGAAGGTGGACAGCCAAGATACGCGGCGTCTTTGTTTGCCAGACAGGCAATGAAATTCTTTCTGGTCCATCGACGATCCCTTTGTTTGTCATCACTTAGGTCTTAATCATTATCTTCATTGCGGGATTTGTCGCGGGGCCTTTCTCTGTCGAGCAAATATCAAAGGATGTACGTAGATGCCGTTTTGGTATTGGACTGCTGCTGATCAAACTGATGACCCAAGAACTCGAATTTTGCCCGTTGTCGATCACCACCCAATCGACTCGTCACTGTCGCTGTCCGTCCGGTCCCAGCAGACCACATTATATATCCAGTGGGCGAGAAGGCCCGGTGTTGTGGCAGTCTGCGAAGTCAAGATTTTGCAATTCTACCAATCAAGAACCCTGTGAATGGTCGCTAAGTGGCTACACACTGCCAGCCTGAGATTGGCCCCCACGTGAAGCCGCATCAATTGGGCGGCACCCGGAGCACGTGGCGCGAAGTCATCGAAGCTCCGGATAGGCAGGGCATTACCCTGGTGCATGAGATGGGAATGGGCAAGACTTTTCAGTTGATCCTTCTGCATGTCACCACCTGTCGGTGCGATCGGAGCGATGATGCAAGTATACGGGAACAATTTCCTCCCGATTTACGGCTGATCAAAGGCACTCATCCTCGCTCCCAGCAGTCTGGTCAACAATTGGGTGGAGGAGTTCTCGAAATGGGTCCCCGACCGCACCATTCTTGGTGATCTCTACCCCGTTTTCGACCGTGAGACTTCGTTGAAAGAAATACCACAATGGGACCAGGCAGGCGGGGTTCTACTCCTCAGCTACAAGAGATTCACGTTTCTGACAAATGAGGGCAACAAGAGGGGAGAGATGTTGCTCGAGGTGCCAAGTCTCGTTGTCGCCGATGAAGCACACAGGTAGAAGAATGTCAAACCCCAACTGAATCTGGTGGAGACGAGATTCAAAACTTCAAGCCGCATCGCTCTGACCGCCACCACACTGAACAACAACCTCGAGGAATATCACGCAATGGCAAGCTGGGTTGCTCCAAGCTTTCCAGGCTTACCAAGTATTCCTCAGGAGTCTTCCGGGCCGGCTACACAAAGCCGGTCATGCAAGGTCTTCAACCTGACAGTACACCATCTCAGAAGAGACGCAGCGCACAGATGTTGAGGAATTTTGAACAAATCCTTTCCCCGAAGACAGAGAGGTCTACCATCAACGACATGGCCACAGGTCTTCCTCCCAAGACTGAATTCGCTGTCACAGCACAGCTTACCGAGACGTAAAGTAGGCTATACGACACATACGCGGTACCTACGCCGATCGGTGCGAACTGGTGGGCTCTGTTGTCGATTCTAAGCTTGATCAACCAGTACCCCTCATGTTTGCGCAGTAAATTCGGGGAACAGCAAGAGATCAAGTCCACCGGAGATGTCATACCCAGCGCGGAGCCGATTCACACCGAGAAGACTCCATTCTGTCGGCTGACAGGAGAAATGGATGTTTCTACCTGACAGTCATTAGCTAAAATATTCAACGAAAAGGGTTCTTGTCAAGTCTTCCTCCTTTCCATGAGAGTTGGTGGCTTCGGCCTAAATCTCCAGGGTGTGTCTCGCGTCATCATCTACTACTTCGGCCTTAACCTTTCGTGGGAGGAACAAGCCATCGGCAGAGCATACCGTCTGGGCCAAAAGAGACCAGTGTTTGTGTATACTGCTTCCTTGCTGGGGGTGCGTTCGAAGAGGCCCTGTTCGACCAAAGCTCGCTCAAACGGTCCCTATTCGGCCAGGTGGTCGACAGAAAGCGACAAACGCTCCACGCCTCTAAGGGTCTAAAGGCTGTGATCTTGCCAGTCAGGCAGGTTGAGCAAGGTGACCTCCTTGTGGCCGAAAAAGACTCCGCAGTCCTTGGCGCCATCGGACTGGGCTGTGTGCGCAGCATCGCCCTGATGGAGGAATTCTACAAAGAAGATCGTCAGACGATTGTTCCGAAGACAGACCGTCGCTTGGCAGAGTGTCTCACAAGATGGACCGATCTGTCGAAGACGAGAGCTCTCTCAGTAAAGCACACGACCAATTTCCCGAGAGGGTCCAAGTCAGACTGCACCGCCTAAAGGTAAAGGAAGAAGGTCCATTCAGTCAAAGGAAGCAGGTATATCTCCGACTAGAACATGATGAGTTTGTCGCTGGAAACTTCGACGACATCACAACGCAATACTCGAGTCAAAGTCCACGTCGTCAACTCGAATACTGGGTGCACTTCTATATGAATCAACACCGCAGCAGAGCCGCTGGCCTCTTTCAAACGCACGGTCAAGAGGAGAAATACCGTGTGATGAATGTTGGAGGTCTCTGCACCTGCGGCTGATGCACCCGGTCTTCCTTTCGACAATTGCATCACGGTGAAAGTAGAGCACGATATTGACAATGTTTGGCACACGCAGGCAAACTGTACCAGTCGACGTAAACAGCGCTCATTTCAAGAGGCCCGAGTCAGCAGCACTGGAGCAGGCCGCAGGTGACCAACATCAATGCGCCGAAGGCAGTGCAAGGAGAGACTCCGTCTCGGCGAAGAAGTCCCGGTAGATGCTCACCTGTTCGCTCCATAACGGGGGCTCCCTCCAGGCAAGGTTTTTCCCACGACGGTTTTTCCCGTGCCTCAAGCACGAATGTGGGAGGTATGCGGGTGTTTCTCGCGTGTCGAATCGTATGCAGTTGTCCCATTGTCAATGTCATCACACTTTTATCAATGGTCAACGCGAATTCCGAACATGCGAATCATCCAACAACCAACCGGGCCTTTTCGAGGGTGTTTAAGCTTAAACGCACACCCTTTCCCATTGGGCTGCTGGTGTGGTGGTGTGGAGTAAGCCACGCCAACGTTATTTTGACAGGTGAGGCTTGGCGCCAAGTGCCAATGCCTGGACCCACCGATAGAATTGTTGACCAATCATTTACTCTGACATCACACAAACCAAGGCGACCACTACACCACTGTCACGATCACATGATAAAGCTGCGCGCGTCCACGCGTGACGCGACGGAATTGATCACTCCCTGCGGCAAACACCCCACAGCGAAAAAAACCCGCCCACCGTTGATACGTAGGCGTCCGTGAAATAACACTTTCTCCAAATTTAAGCACTAACCAATCCACAGACCCTTCTTCTCTCCCCTTCCTCGCGACTTTCCTCTGTACCGTCCGCGACGTCGCCGCCTCTTGCCTTCTGCTCTCTCTCCCCGGGTCTCTATCCCTCCAAATCGGGTCTTGATTTCCCGCTTATCCCAGTAAAAACTCATCGGTCGTCTCTCCTTTGCGGACATGGATCGTTCTCAGTCAATGGTTAGGGGAAGCTCCACGTAGCAGGAGGTGCTCATCTGTGGGAGGTAAGAGAGGCCGTATCAGGCCCACCGTTCACCTGGAAGAGATGAGAACGCCACTGGCTGTAGAGGAACACCGAAATGTGCAGAGGTCGGGGCTCCCAAGGCAGATTGCGTCCTTGATGCCTGAGTGATTTATTCATTCAAATACACGGTGTAACTCTCCACTCCTCGAGATTGTTGGAGTGCCTGTGGAGCTGGTTCCTGAATGAAATGCGACGAGTAGAAACACCTAATACCCACGATCAGTCATTGATGACCACAAGTAATCCCACAGTTCTGGTCTCACACCGTCGAGGCTGATTCGTCGAGGCCATGCTGAACCAATGCCTGACATCCCGGAGCACTCGCGTATGAATTTTCTGGTGGACCGTGGAGCTGGGTGTCTGTACCCTGCAAACACTTGCCATTCCTGAGCCAGGGAGGTTTTCGGCCAGGGCTTGAAGATGCGGACAGGTCAACGCATGTACTCTTGGCCTCCGCCTCGTCGTCTTCTAAACTTTCAGCGACAAAGTCTCCAGTGCAGCGGCTCATCAGACTACATTCGGACCAGCCAGCGACCGCTTCGGACCCCGTCGGTCTGTTGCTCAAAGAAATATGTTAATCGTATAAAGGTTGATATCAAGTCCCCTCTTATTCCATAACGCAATTTAAGTCAACTCGACGCAGCAATCGATATGAGTAATGCACAGTACATATCGATCGAGAATTCCCACCCAATATCTTTTGACAAGTGTTCGACAAAGACCACTCTCCTCGGTCAGCCATCAGTGAAAAGCCATAGGGTAGGCATCTTGTGCCGTGCCGACATACATTCCAAGGTCCACGTATCGGCGTGTCACGATTTTTCCAGAGCCTCGGGCATACATTACAGAAATCACCACATTTTTGATCCATCTCATCATGTCGTTCAGATTTGGTTTTTCCTCGCGTGCCGCTTTCAGTGCCCTAGTCGGGGCTCTGATTCATGGTCGCACAGACCTTCTTTTCGGCCCATTTCGCGTTCTGCCTTTTGTGGCCACGGTTAGCAGCTGCCCAAGGAGCAGCGTAACTCCTTCTTGGAGATCATGGCGTGAATGAGCTTGAGGAGTCTCTTCTCAAAGACCGCCCCGTTCCTGCCGTTTGCTGTTTTCCACAAGGTGGTATTTCCGATCGAGCGGGTGGTGGATAACTTCTTCTTTTGGGTACGCTGTGGCACGGAACTTTGATCGTGCTTCAGATGGCTGGAGATCGAGGACAATGGCAAGAGCTAGTACGTTCTACTCGGGCTCTTGCCCTTGGTGCCTGTTGTTCTCGCTACTCATGATGGCGTTGTTGCGAATGGCTACGTCCTCGTGGATGTCGATGAACGCGTTTATGCCGTGGTGATGTTCGGGGTCATTGTGTCGCCACTCTATCGGCTCCTTCATACGGCTTCGCCGACACACGATCATGCGCGTGGGTGTGTCCATCATCACCTGCGCGGACACGTACGGCGTCAAGAAGATGAACATCGCTGAGTACTTGGGGAGAATTTTCAAGACGCCAGAGAATAATAAGCTACCCGCGCACATGCAGGTGGTCGAGAAGAAGATCAACAGCTCAATCAGCACCATACTCGAGGCGACTGGCGCAGGGTCGGTCATGGACCCTAATACTCATACAATGGCGTCAGGTAATGTAGGAACATAGTAGTTTGACTGTACATTTGATGGACTCACGCCAAGTGGAGTCATTATCCCTCCGGGGATGTATCGGGAACACAACTAATTCTGGAACTGCCTTTCCTTTTTCTTTTCTTCGTCATATCCTGGACTTGAACTCTATCTTCCCTCTCGGTAAAAAAAAAACCAACGAAATTAATAACAATCCCTGTCACCTCTCCGCCCACCTCCATCCCACCCCTCTGGGAGGCAAAAAAACTCCACTTGGGAGAAAACTGTAGCCCGTAGTACAATGGACACAGTTTTTTTTTTTTTTGTTTCCTGGACTTAAGAAGTCCTTCTCGCCTCCCGTAATGGATGCCCTCCTGCTCGTCCTCCTCCTCTTTCTTCCTCCGTGAGCGCTCAACCCCATAATTTACCCTCCCCCTTCTCTCGCTATGAGCCTTGATTTGTCGTTGTCGTTGCTTATTGTTGTTGTAACAATGCGGACTGCAGTCATCAATTCCTAGTGAGTGAGTGAGGCCAAGAAGCAACTCATACATCACCACCGTGAGTGGAAATTTATAAACCAAGGGTGGTACGAGATTCGAACCCTGAATTTTGGTGTTATAGATTGATGCAGACCTGATCCGGCAATTGTTGGAGGGGTTTTCGCCATTGTAACTGATATCACTGTAAAAGGAAAAGTGGGGACGCGTGTGATAAATGGGGAGGGGAGTGAAGGTGTAGCGAACACAGTGAATGGAACGGGAGGGGCGAGGCTGGACGTATACGCCTGGCAAGGCTGCGATCCCCCGTGAACATGTCAAAGCAGTGTACGTGACTAACACGTTGATCCTGGTTCTGTCACCTTGAGGACAGGCATTCCCTGCCTGTCGTTCAATTACCAACCCCATCAAACTCATGTTCCCCAACGCTATGGCGAACCACATGTCGAACGAAGCCGCGTTTACCCCCATGGACAGCCTCGTGATTGTGTCCAAAAACAAGCTGCTGCGCGTAAATAGCAAGACGTACTGTACTACGGACTCCTTTAACGGCATGGGGATGGACCTGTGGAGGAACATCGACCCCAACAGCGGCGAGACGGTATTCGCTGACGACCTCAAGCCGATGGTCAACAGCGGGCCGACGGTACTTCCTGTACAGGTGCGCGGACTTCTTCCAGCTCAAGTGCGGGGACGGCAGCGTGCATCTGCCCAGCAACGCGGTCGTTTTCGCGCTCCCGCAGCTACCCGTACACACAGAATCGCTCGCTGATCATCTGTAGGTACAGGAACAACACCGTCACCATAAACTGCACCAAGTACGCCATAACCAACGGCTGGGAGTACATGCGTCCACTCACGGACAGATACTACGGCGAGAACCATGACGACGACCCGAGCAGGAACACGGCCTGCTTAAAAATCACAAACGACTCCACGACCGAGGCTGCCAGTGTGTGCATGTGATCGGAATTTTGCAAAAGGTATCACGGCGCAACCTTGAACAGGAGAGATCGCTGTTAAGGGTGCAATTATGATATGAATTCTGAGACGAAAGAGTCTAACTAGCAATAACGTGCAACCTGCGGTAGAAGAGTTCACAGATATTCAGCCTCGTGTGGGGTAATCAGCCTTGTGCGGGGTATCCCACACCTGGCATTTGTCAAGACCGTGACACATCAAACCGAAATAGATGAATTAGTTTCACCGAACAAGTGAACATCTTCCCACACTGGCCTCACAGCTGCACCAGTGAGAACGCCCGTTGCAACAACCCAGGCACGGACCATGCAGAACGAGAACGTGGGAATGGTCCGCCGACGTTTTCTAGTTGACTTTGAGAGAACCCCCCGAAACAAAGCTAAAGCCAAGTGCTCGCCCGATTGTTGAACAAGGGGGCCTCTCAGTCAGCAGCGGGGTGAGTGCAGAAGTTCACCAGGCTAGGATAGAGATGAACAGCAAGGGTTTCGGTTTCGGTTTCGCTCCATTGGCAACCCGGATGAGGGAGGCCTCGAATGGCAAAAGATTGTCTACGACGTTGAGCTGTTGTATGTTGCACATGCTCACGTTGCGCGGGGGGTACTTGCAGTGAATAAATCAGCTCCATAGGAAGAGTAATGACTTCGGATTCCTCTGGTTGAGCAACCCGTACGACCTCGGAGACGAACTAGAAGATAGTCAACGGTAAGCGGCATTTACCCTTTTATCATGCAACACTGGAATCACTTCCAAGGGAGAGTCTGCCTGTGACAACGACGAGGGAGGTCGAAGGCAGCGACGGACACTTCCAGCAGGAAGCGCAAGGCATGAGTTTGAGAGGTTTTCCCTTTTTAGGAAGGAAGGTTACCGGATTAAGGAAACTGGTGCTAGTTTTTGTGACCCGACAAACAGCGTTTCTGAAATTGGAAAATGGACAAAAATCTCAGCCTGACATGTGATATGCAGCCTTGCTTAGTTATCAAGTAGGGTGGATCATCAAGTGCGGTTTCTACGGTGGAGGATACATTTCCACACTGTGTGGGTGACGTGACGACCTTTCAATTCCATCAAACCGAACAAGATATTCCAACAGACGAGGAAGAACATGCCTAGAAAGAAGACGAACCTCCTCTTTGCCTCAACAGCCCAATCTAACCAGGCTTTCCTACCAGTATCGCTCGGAAACCTCCATAATATCCAGGACCACATCTCTTTCCACCAGCAAGAACGATCAAAGCTTGATCCGCGCCCAAAGCTTGAGTCAGTCTCTGCCCAAAACCAGGCCCTCTGGCTGACTGTCAAGCAAGTTAGAGTGCTTCTCACAGAACCTACTCGTGTCCGCATCTACTTTATCAGATGAATCAAATATGTCCTTTGATATTTGCGTGATAGTCTCACTGACAGCCATCATAGGCTCAAACCCCTTTCAGAAGCAAGACTCACAGTATCGGCTTTGTGCTTGAGTTCCTCCACTTCCTTTGCTCATCGGCCCTTTTCCACACGATCTTTGACAGTATCAGCTCCAAAGCAAGAAAATCTGATACAAGCCCAACACCACGGGCCTCAAGACCACCCAGAGAAACCTTCGCTGCATTCATTGCTTTGTTGGGCTCGCCTTGAACAATGTACCTGTTGAAACCAGACGTCCTTGGAGGTACATGTTTCGTCTGCTGACATTGGGTCTGCGGCTGGGTTCGGTGTTGTCGGGCGGGACGAGGTCGATCTCCCATTTTTGGTCGAATCGAGCGCTGAATCCTGATCCATTTCCAACCGATCCTCCAGACGTACCCTCTTCGTCTTCTGTCCCAGGAGGAACACTGAGTCCCCGAGAAAGAAACAGCCAAGGGTCTCAAGAAGAGACTATCGACCTTTATAACTGGACGGTCTGAAACCCCTTAACTACATCAATCTACATTGGAGAAGAAATATACTACCAAAAGAGAAAAAGGACTTCATGTTCTTGTAGGCTTCATATGAGAATGGTGAGGCGGGGCCTGCGGGACACACTCGTCGTTGAATTCTTTCAGCCCGTATGTATCACAACAGGAGCCAGTGACCAGCTGCGGCGTCGTAAGGCGGGGACGTCCGTCTTTTCCATAACGCAAACTTATCCCCGCATGCAGCTGAAACCCCAGAAGCGGCAGTTGCACCTGGTAAGTATGTCTTTGCTCCGGCATCTCTGGGTGTCGTTGGAGCTTCTCGGGCTTCGGGCTTTTCGACGTTGAGTTGTCTCGAGTTGGCAGTCGGCATCTCCTCTCACCGAGGTGACCATCCAACCAGAGCTGGCGCCTGGGATACGCCGGAAGGTGTGCGCCTAGGCAGAATATATCAATAACTACTGATTTGCAGTGCCACTCTCAGCCCCCAGCTACTGGTAGAAAGCTGGAAAACGTTACTATTCAAGAATAACAAACATTGCCGTCGAAAGAGGAAGTGGTAGACAAACAGCCGGCTACCGATCTGTACATGGTCCGATCACTTTACATTGAGGAGCCGTCAACACTTCTTGCCCTTCTCTTGCCTCTCCTTGCTCATGCATGCCACTCCGTCCGCGTCTCGCGCCGTGCACGGCTTCGTCGACTCGCGTGCTTCCTCCTTGGCTACCCCGGAGCGAGAAAATTAGCACGGAGCGTGCGCTTCACGAGGTAAGTGAGGTATAACAGGTACAGTGAGGAATCGATCGCCCCGCGAATGGTTACCTGAAGGAGCTCGCCCGGGACATAAATTCACTTGTCTTCATGCTCCTTGTCGAAACCTCAACCTCAACCTCTTGTCTCCCATAGAACGTCGCGAACGTCGCTGCGCGGTCAATGACACAAGTGGCACTTCTTACAAGGTCGCAGAATGTATCCCAAATCTTTACTGTCCCCGACAACATCCCCCATTCCGCACTCGAAATGTGTCGTTCACTGCCTAGTCAACCTCGCGCCAACCCGACCGTGCTGCTTGCCATTTTTTCGGCGTTCCCTGTCCACGGGACGAGAAATTTTGGTGTCGTGGGCTGGAAGATCGCCGACTTCATTGTCGAATGCAGACATGTCGAAAACAAATACAAAATTGAATTGATCCAGCGCAGCAAGAAGCAAAAGTCTTTGTCGCCAAGGCTGGTGTACAAATATGTCAAATATGCCAAGTATAAGCACGTGTCTACAAGACTGGCTTACATACTTCCCCGTACGGACTGCACTTGATGGTCGACCCTACTTGATAACTAAGCAAGGCTGCATATCACATGTCAGGCTGAGTTTTTGCCCGTCTTCGGAAATTCAGAAACGCTGTTTGTCGGGTCACAAAAACCTCCGTGTATTTCCTAATCCGGCAACACTCCTACCCAAAACAGAAAACTCTCGGCAACACTGCGCTCGCGGACTGTGACCCCTCTCTCCCCCCGCCTCTCTGACGTCGCCGACCACAGGTTTTTCGGGGCAGATGCCGAGGGCCGCGCTCATCCAGGATCAGCAGGTGGGCTCAAGTTCGTCAACGTGTGCAATGGTCCGTTGTACAATAAAGCGTGACTGCCTCAGGAGAAACCTACATCGTACACGAGTCCTGTACATGCGACCCGGACACAGTCACTGTCGCTCTTGATGATGGGCCGCAATGGCCATTGGAAGTCCCAACAAGAATACAACATCGGGGTACATGTCCCCCAGTTGTTCGGCCGATGACAGATTCAGTTTCGACCTCGGGTCCAACTCCACGAACATGATCGGTTTCGGCGGCCTGGGAGAATCACACTGCTTTCTTGGGATGCCGCGCACTTTGTTCGAATCCACCGGAGCACGTTTTTGGATATTGTCACCTTAACCACTAGCTGCTAAGCCCGAAGGACTCGTCGTCGTGGGGAACCACCGGAGCAACCGACACTTCCCTGTCCAAGGAAAGGTCCAAGTGTGGGAAGGCATCAATAGGCCACGGCACGCAAAGCAAAAGCCAAGGCCGCTATCAACCGCTGGTAGAACAGTTTTCCGTCTTCCATCTCTCCTCTCTTTTGGCCACGTCTTTTTGCCTTCCCCTTTCCCTCATCCCTCCTTGTACCTTTGCTGTCTCGCTTTTCTCCTGCCAGGCCCTGGGCTGCACTGGGCTCAAAGAGGGCTCGACTTCAACAAACCCAAGCTGGGGAGATAGTGACACAAGAATGACCGACCTCGCCTTGATCACCCACGAAAAGTGAGCCTTCGCTCTGTTCTTCCTGTGGCTTCAGGGTTGAACTACTATGCACCACCATTCTGGCTTCACCACTGGCTAACGGTTCGTCCCTTCTTCCCTACGGATGGCCAAACGAACATATTGAAGGTCTGGCTTTCCGAGCACTGAAAGGATTCTTTTCTGTTTCCGAGCACATGTGGCTGACATCCAATGCCCTCTGGTCACGATTCCGCTGTAGTATTACTTTCTGAAGAGGCCGAAACATATGACGAGGTCTCACAATTCGCTGACGGGGAAGTATTCTGCTCCACCGTGACGGCGGCCGTGTCAGCTGCTCATCAGTAGAAATAGGTAGATTCTCTTCAAAATAAATCTGGAGACGGGTCGTACCTTCTACCAGCAGGCTGGCTTTGTTGCGTGCTTGTTGATGCGAAGCCGCCGCCGCCTCCGAGTACCAGTTTGACAAGAGCAGCACGTTGGGGACGGCAGACGGCAGCCGGGATCGACGGCAACAGCGGCGGCAACAACCATCACTGTCACGTCGAGACACAAGCATGGGGCTATTTTGTTTTCCGTGTGAGGTGGTGGACAAAAGCCTCGAGTGCAGTGCTGCCAAGAGTCTTTTTCTGTTTTGGGTAGAAGTATTTCCGGATTGGGAAATACCCGAAGATTTTTGTGACCCGACAAACAATGTTTCTGAAATTGCGAGACGGAGAGGAAACTCAGCCTGCCATGTGATATGCAGCCTCGCTTAGTTATCATGTAGGGTGGACCTTCAAGTGCTGCTTTTACGGCAGAGCATGTAAGCCACTCCTGGTAGTCACGTGCTTCCACGGTTG